AAAAGTCTTCTTAATGGGATGTGTATGTTAATATGTACGTGAATGTGTGCGTGGAATGTTAGCGTTTTGGCCCAATGATGTGTTAGGGAATTTGGTGTGATTCCAGATAAAAGTCAGTGGGCGGTTGGTTTATGAATCGGTCTTGGGCTTCGTATGGATCTGCTTCGCAGAAAATATGCGTGCAGTGTGTTAACCTTAGCTCCTTAGAGACAAAGCTGCCAAGCAATTGGTGTTTCTATCTGGCCTCATGATGTACGGATGGTGCTGGCCTTAATAGATACTTGATAAAGGCATTTTCGCAGACTATATGGATAAATGGAAGCCTCCTCTCCCAGCTGAGACCTACATTTTGAGAAACACAATACAGTATAATCTTACATTGTAAGTAACATATTGGCAAAATCATTAATAATACTTAAATAGGCACATGTTTAATCTGGGAAATATGAAAACGCTGTTTTTATGAGAATATAACATACGTTTTGCTTGCAAAATAAACACATATCACTATGCAGGCACACTGTTTACAGTTAACATGCTTGTCACTAATAATAACTACGTGATATTTTCTATCTGGTATTTTATTACGAAATTGATGTCAATAAAAGATCGTATTTTATATTGTATTTACATTAAACATTGTGCTTTTGTAACAAACAAACAAAAACTCACTCTAGAGCGAATATACTGTAACATTCTATGCTTAAAAACCTGAAAAGTATAGTTCATGTATAATATGACCCAGGTAATCCATCTTTCAAGGACAGTCATGGGGAACATTGCAATGTTGGCCTTTGACATTCGCACCTTAGAAGGCAATCGCTGCTTAAATCATGCCGCTCGAATCTCCTATCGGTTTTCATCAAAGACTTTGAAAGATATCACGAGCGCGAACGGATGCAGGGTGCGTGAGGTGTGGGGAGGGGGGGGGGAGGATAGCGGCACGTCCTTGACCTTTCATCCTGTCAATAAATCTCTGGGGAGGCGACCTGGTCGCGAGCTGCCCTTGGACACCATTGCCCGCTCGCAAGGAGATTCCATTAGTACTCGGAGTGGATGCACACGGAGTGATGGGACGCTCACCCATGTCTTCGTACAGATGAGATCCGACACTCAATATCAGAGATTAGGCATGTTAAGCTGTGATGTTCAAGTCCATGTGTCACATTAAACGTAGGTTTTCGTAGGCAATACAATGATCCATATTTGGGGGAGGGGGGGGGTTGAGGGGGAGTAGGCTTAGTGAATATGGATACGCGTGGCTCCATCCTCAAAGGAGCGCTGCACAGTAGTCATCTACACTGCTGGGCCTGGAGCCGCTGATGGGAATTCCGCATTTAATGTGCTGGAAGTCAGTCCCTCTGCAAGACCACCGCTGTTGACTCACCACAAAGCTGTGTGCTTATTTTATTGGCCCTCAGAAGGATGATGAGCTGAGTCAAGCCCCCCCCCCCCCCCCCCCGCCAACATAGAGGTTTTTTTAGGTTAGATCGCGTAAATATATGTGTCATTAAACCCGCCACCACCCGACACAGCCAATTAATAAGCTTTGTCACGTAAACAGAACGTGCCAATTCGTTACGAGTACAGCACACCGGTGTGTTGGAGAGTAAAGCCACAATATTTACTATCTGATGACGACGGATCCCGCCCCCCCCACCGCCGCCGCTACTGATGAGGGCCTTCTGGTAGTGAACCGAGCGATCCTCCACTGTTCAACTCAGTAGGACACATGTGCTCATGCGTGTAAAATAAGACTGGGTGGAGAGTGTACATATGTAACGTTACATTTGCGCGTATACCCACTGAATAAATAAAAACATGATAAAGGTGCAGCACTGCAAACTGCTTGCTCACCACACTGCTGCCGGATGGGCCTGCGCCTATGTATGTTGAACTTATTTCGCACCGTACGTAGCCACCCGTGCGAATGGGAGGTGCGGGAAAGTACAACAAAGGGAGGGACCTCTGGGGAACCCCTCAATAGGGGCTTGTATATATGTATACAATCATAACGGCATTATTATATTAACGTGGCCTAGACCTCCTCGAGGTCAACTTAGCCTAAAAACAAGTGAATGGTACAGTATGGTCAACATCTGTTTTGGGTTCCATGCACGCATGAATCTCTATGCGATCCACTAACCCCACCTGCATAGCACGGGACTGGTGACACACGTCACAACCGCAAGCTAGTTTTAATTCGTCATCGCTTGGGGCTTAATTAATACTGTGTGCTCATACAAGAACATAGAGCAATAATGATGCATACACCTGTTTCGAGAGCCACATCTGGGTCGTACTGGAAGATTCCACACTTGGGATCCAGAGACGCCGATGAACACATCTGCGTGAAATATCGGCACACAACGTGCGAACCAGACGCGCTTTTATCTTGACATTAACTGCGGTGACAAGGATCGCTTGGGAGCTATCATTTCTAGTTTAACAAGGGGGGGGGGGGGGGGGATAGGGATACGCTCCTGACAGGTGTAGTTCTTCAGGTGCTTTCAACTCCCTTGCTCCCACTGGGATAACACCGAGTTAAAACGAGTGTCGAATGTCTTTTTTGTTTTGTTTTATATACTCCGATTATGTTCTGACTGCGTTTAAGTCGCGTACAAATGACAAAAGTCCGTGATATCGCTGCTCAAATGGGCATCAAGGCGGTGCTCGTCGCCTGTTCACAGCCCTGGAGAAGCAGTGGTGGAAATGTCTCATTCCTGTGGGCAGGGGCGAGCCTTTTCATTGGACAACCACTACTGGCTTCCCCACGAAGTGGTCATTATTGTATTGACCCCCACAGGGATGACGGGCTGAGTCAACCCACAACCAGAATCTGAACTTGCAGCCTTCCGACTGTGATCCGCTCGCTGTACTACTGAGCCACCAGGCCGAAGGAAGAATCTCTTTCAGTGAGCAGTGTAGAACTGTGGCTCAGAGAATGGGCCCCAGAAGATATCGCATAACTTCTTGTGAGGTCACTTGATTCGGCTTTTATTCAGACTACATGGCACATATTCTTAGTTTATATATAAAACAATAAAAAAAATTTCACGACGTTTCGACCATAACTCAAACGGTCATCATCAGGTGTGTCGGTTTGCAAACCGACACACCTGATGATGACCGTTTGAGTTATGTGTGTCGGTTTGCAAACCGACACACCTGATGATGACCGTTTGAGTTCTGGTCGAAACGTCGTGAGAATTTTTTATTGTTTTATATATATTTTGTTATTTTGTTGTTTCTCTTCAACGTGACTTTACCGAAAAAACTAAGAATATGAATTACTGCAGTCACGAAAGCTTTAAATCAAAATACATGGCACATGTTTTATATACAGTATCTTTAAAAAAATGTTTATCTAAATGCTCAGTTACAAATGCTTATCCAAATCAAAATGCAACATTTTCAGAGCTAGAATAATCCAACTTCATATATGATGACGGATGGGGGTAGTGTGGATTGTGTACCATCAGTTGCAACTTTGTTGTTTCCATCAAGGCGAAGAATCTGGTCTAAAGCATGCGAATTTTGCAGGACAATGTAATTGCCTATTGTGGAATATTATCCCCTGTGTACCACTTAAACAAATATATGAGCGATTGATAGCCCTGTCTCAGCCCAATCACCAGTGCTGTACACACACTACATTCAATGTTGCCCTTCAGGTAATCAATCCCCAACAGGGAGCATTAATTTAGTAGTCATGCACCGAGTGAAAACTACAAATCATCCATTCTGCTGTGTATAGAATAATCTAGTTGCCATGCAATAATGACCCTTTTTATGGATGTGGGACTACAGCCCATGCACTTTAATGTCATATACGGGGTGTTCCACGAACTGCCTTGTAGACGCTGTTACAATTGCGCTCAACTTTATTGCAGGTAGTACTTGTTAAACATTCATCATCAGCCGTGGTTGATCCACTTCCGGATGAAATCCTCCCGTGATGAGCGATGCAATGTATAAGGTGGCTTACCGATTTTTACCAATATTTTCCTACTCTCTTAAAATGGTGTCAGTGCATTTGTTCAAGATTTCTAAAGGGTTTTAATTACATCTAAATATTCATGATTATTATTTAGGTATTTGCACCGTCTACAAAGGCTATTGGAACTCCACTAATCTATTCTAGAATTCGAGTGATCCGTGTGGTCGAAAGAGATAAACCTTCCCTAAATCCTGCCTACTCACTTGATTGGTCCATCTAACATTTTCATAACTGTTCTCGATGATCCTCGCGAATAATTGATAGACGTGCGACACGATGCTCATAGGTATGTAGTTCTTCTCATCAGTGTTACTACCATTTTTGAATAGAACAATTCTTTAGTCGTCATTGCCTGATTGAGGTATTTGGATATCATGCATTATAGTCCTTATATCCCTTTTAAATATCATATATAATCTACGGGGTAGACGTTGACCCAACCGTTAGCGCACTATTGCTATTAACCCGACGAGTTTTGTTCCCACCCACGGCGAACGGTCAGTGACGAGCGATTTCAGAACCAGTCCCTATCCTCCCCTAGGTTAGCACAAGCTTTAAATAAAGTTCCTGGTATGGTGTGTAAACATTAGCGTTGGGGAGATAAAAGCACGTGCGTTTGTCGAAAGTTGCATTCTCTTGCCTGTTTGTGTGTGTGTGTGTCCGTGCATTGGGGAAGCGGTAGTGTAGCGGTCAGCGCGCTGCGCTACAAACCCGGCCACCCGAGTTCGATCAACGCTCATGGTAAATACCATGGACGATTATCTGACCCGGTCATGGGCCTCCCAAAGGTCGACTCGGCGTCAAATGCATACATGATGCGGCGTTAAAAAAACATCACCCCTGGGGAGACAAGGGCGGCCGGGCGTGGCGCTGTACTAACATGGCTTACTGGCTTACCATAGGGTGCTCGCTAACAGCACTCGCCCACAACCGTCTGTTAAGGCTACACGGGGGACCTTTGTCTTTGTGTGTGTGTGTGCGCGCGCGCGCGTACGTACAGGCCCATTGTGCAACGCGACGCGCGACGAGATCGGCACGTGCTGGCCAGAGAGCGAGGCCGGTCGCACTGTGGCAACTCCTTGTCCCGAGCGCTTCAACGGCGTGCGCTACGACTCCTCCAGTAAGTGGCAGCACGGCACCCCCATCCCGCTTCTCTTGTTCACGACATTATCTCGGTCAGAAGAAGTTTCTGTTTCATCACCTGCAAGGGGTTTCTTCTCTCTGATTCTGTTGCAAACTTATTCTGCTTATTTTTTTTTTAGTTTTTCTCACATTTATCTTGAGGTCAGCTCTTCTTTGTTGGATTTTTTGTTTGTTATCATGTAGTTATCGTTTAGTCTCGTTCACTCCCGTTGCGTATTTTAACCGCTATGTCGTCAATAAATCTGAAATTATTATTAATGTTTTCTCCATTTAGATTTCTACTTTTCTTTGACAATCGAATTTCAGTGAACAAAAAAACTCAACAAACACCCATCAATAACACTCTGTGGGTTTCACATTTTAAAAAAATACATGCATAATCTGTGACATTTCAGAAAATGTATCTTTTTGAAAGTACACCAAATATTTTGTTTAATTGTGCTTGTGCACCAATGTCAACACAGAATTTGCCAAATTATTTGTTAAAATTTCTATGAACACATTCTGCCGTCGCTCTGAATAACCTTGGAGAAATGCTATGACCTGGCCTGACTCCCCTGCTAATATCTATTTTGTGACTCTCTTCATGCCATATCAGTGGAGCTGTCCCATTGTTTTATCGTTTTTATTTCATAAATGTTTTTTTTTTTAATATATATCCAGGCCTCGGTTTGTGAGAACTTGAATGGATGCATCAATTTTCCACCGAGTCCAATGCCTTTACAGAGTCCCCAATGGCCAGGTGATGCACAGCTGGCTGTGAGCATTCCGATGGGACATTTCTTCATCTCGTGGCAGGCCGCCGATTGCACAATTGGAATATAATTGGGATAAAAAACCAAGAAGGAAAACTTCACGATTCTGTTTAATCGTCTCCGCAAGCCGCGTTCACGGAGAAATGAAGACTCAGCTATCACTCTACCATTAAGGGTAGAATTAATATTATGAAGTAATCAGCGTAGTTCTTCCTATACTAATATATATTATATTTTTTTCCTTCCTTTTTCTCCTTGAGGACCGAGTGTAACTGACCTAGGTAAAGTGCACTTTGCCAGGCATGAGTCCGGGTAAGGTTGATGGTGAGCGTGGTTAGTTGGTAAGGAAGGCAAACAACATTTTCAGGCACCCACGAGCTCTCTGTGAGCTTGTTTCTCTTTAGAAAAGGGAAACGTGTGGAAAATACTGAGAGATATACTCGGGCAAGGGTACAAAATGTTAATTTGTACAAAACTATTAAAAACAGCAAGCAAGCAATATATTATATTTTATATTAAAAACGTAGACATGTTTTAAATAAATATGTCACAAAGCAAATATACTTTTTTCTCTCTTAATAAATTTGCATCCCTTAATAATAATTCTTAATCCACTTCTAGACAAAGGTCTCTCAACTTCATATTAGTAGCAGGGTTTTTTCATTATACTTCACCACACAAGGCCAGTGCAGGTTGGTGAAGAGCATAGACGTGGGGGAATCGAAGTACAGTGCAACAGTATGTGTTTTAATGATTGTTCATGTCGGCCACACAACCTATGACACGTGTAACAGGTTGTAATAGGGGTGCCGCGGTCGGTGACGAGATGTTAATTGCCTCGCCTAGTACACATTAGGTCATGAGTTCAATCCCGACACCGATTTGGAGTTTGCATGTTCTCCCCGTGGTCACGTGGATATTGATCCGGATCCTCCGGGTTTTCCCACCACATTTAGAAACATTCGTTTAAAGTATTTAACTGCTATAAATGTCCACACGATAAGCCACTCCGTTGAGCTTTCATTTGTGGCCAGGTCGCTTCTAAAAAAGAGCTATATAGCTCAGTGGGCCTTACCTGCTCAAATAATAAGAATAGTTTAGTTTATAGTTTTGCATATGTTGGTCACCCATCTAAACATTATCTAGGCTCAACACAGCTTATCTTCCCAGAGCTAATGATATTGAGTGCATGTTCCAGGTACTTGTGTCATAGGCGGGGCAGGCTGCTATCGAGGGTTGATTCCAGCAGGCCAGAATTGTGGCAATTGCCTTAAAAACGGACATCCCATCTTTAAAGAATGTTCCAATCCCACAATCCTACAGGAAATCATATTCGATTCAAATTATGCAATCGCGATTCAAAGTTAGCAATAATGAGAATTGCCCAGTTCTAGTGACTATACTAGAACATAAATTAAACACAAAGACAGGTAAAAAATATCATCTATACGACATTTAAAACGATGAACTAAACCATTTCTATTCTAGCAGGTAAGGCCCACTGAGCTATATACAATAGCTCTTTTTCAGAAGCGACCTGGCCACAAATGACAGCTCAACGAAGTGGCTTATCACGTGAACATTTATAGCAGCCAAATAATCGAAGCGCACATCGATCCTAAATGTGGAGGGAAAAACCGGAAGACCCAGAGGAAAATCCACGCAACTCGCAGGGAGAGAGAACAACTCCAAATATACAGCAGGCGTCAGAGTCAGGATCGAAGAATTCAACGTCCTGTGTGACAGGCGAAGTAGTTAACAACATCTCTACACCGTAGCACAACTGCTCTTAGCGAGTAGCACCTATGAAGGCCGGCACGAGGAACGAGGGGGTGTGTGGTCAACACCACGTTCGACTGCCTTTGTCTCCAAAGTGGCGATGTTTTTACACACCACAACAGATACTCATTTAAGGCTGAGTCGACCTAGAGGAGGCCCAGGACCAGTTCAGATATTCGTCGGCGTCATTGGTCGTGAGCGGAAATCGATCCCGAGTCGCCAGGTTCGCAGCACACTGCATTCTCCACTGCGCTACCGTACATCGCAAAGACCCCCTGTATAAGCATTAACAGACTGTTGGGTCAAGTGCTGTTAGCGACCATCTATGATAGCCGGTACGGCACACACGAGCACACACACACAAGTACCCAAACACACGCAGCGTAAGCAAGTATGACACTTTAAATAGAAATGTAACAAGTGCAATGCAAATGTTTAAGAGAATGTGATTTTTGAGTCCAAATATACACTGCGACATGGAAAGACAAATGGCACGAGAATCACAAACAGAACAGAAAGACCTAATGGGAAGTGACAATGGAAAAATAAATTATAATAGAAAAGCACCTGTCATGGGAATGAGGATTAGGAGCCCATTCACATCACAAATTTGAAACTGCAGAGCAATGTCTGATTCGCTGTGAAAACCTCTATGTTTCTGAATCATTCGAAGTGCCTTTATTTTGAGGTCAGCTCATAATACAATTTAGTTTCATGAACCAGGACAGGGATGGCACATGCCTGTAATTCAGCACTGCCTAGGCGAGGGTTGGTGGTGCACACAGATGTCGTGAAACTCCCTTCCCATCGGCGTCAAGGTGCCCATACCCTACCTTGTCAGGAGGATACCGTGGAGGAAACGTGGACCCCCACCTGTTACATCATCTGTATAGGTTTTCTCTGGGCAAACCTTGACATGCGTGGCTCTTCTCCGGGTGCCCTGGTTTCCTCCCACATGCAAAATCACTCATTAATTAGCTGATAAAAAAAGATATTCACGTATAGAGAACTGCAGAGCTTGGGCAATTGTTGGTGCCAGTTCACTTCCTGGCTGCCTTTCACCTTGTCTGTGGTTTCCCAGCAATTGTGAGAAATTATTTGCATGGGTCCTCAGATGGTTCTCTACCCATGGTTGAGGATACAGCTTTGCGGATTGTGCGGTCCGAATATCCAGTCATCTTGAGGGCTTGGCGTACGTGCTCCAGTTCACTGGATAGGTGGTACTGGTCGGAGATGCCGACTATTTTATTTTGGTCACATTGAGTGCCACACTGTGGGACGTTAACAGTGGTAATCATATGGAGAGACCGCACCCCGCCAAAGGAATGGGTCATTGCCACCAATTGGCTTGGGGCTCATAAGAGAGGTTTTTGGGTTGATCAGATAAATGTGTCGTTATACCTGCCACAACCCGACACAACTCGAATTATAAATGCTGTGGGCTTACTCTCCAACACACCGGTGTGCTGTACTTATAGCGATTTGCCACGTTTTGTTTACGTGACAAACCTTACTAATTGGCTTTGTCGGGTGGTGGCGAGCTTAACGACACATTTATATTTAGGCGATCTAACCCAAAAATCTCTTATGGATAATATTGGTCGTGAACGCCTACTTTGTGTTAAACCGGCTCAGGGCTGTCAGTGGAGACGATTGCCACCATTTGCTCATTGGAACCAGAAGATGATTGAGCCGCATCTGATCCACTACCTTGATTTTAATTCATGACCCTTCTAATTGTGAACTTGGCAATGTGCCTCAGCACCACCGGGCTTGTTATGCTCCCAGAGAAAGTGTAAAAGCATAATTAACAAATAAACAATCGAACGTGCTGTATGCAGCTGCCAGCACGATTTGCCCACTGCAGATCGAGCGCATTTCCGTGGTCTTTTTTTTTATAGCAATCCATAATGTCCCAGCGATTAAAGTCATTACGTTCCCACGCAATCACATGCAGGGACGGTGCCTTCAAGCAACACTGGTGGCAACAATTTTACCAAGTTTAGAAACCAACTGAAATTATTCTAAATGCTCTTTGGCAGTTGGTTCAGAGACTAGTAGTGCAAGTTGCGCAAGTGCATTCTGTAATTGTGTGTAACATTACATTAGTCTCCCACGAAGGACAAACGGGAATGTTGTTGGGGTTTCTGTTGCACTTTCAGCCTTTTACGAGTCATTTTCAGTTAAATGCCTGGTGGATGGAACCTTGGGGGAAGTTTATGGGCAGGTTCATGCCAGGGCACGCACATCTTGCAATTCAACGTAATTGCTCATTAAAGTTAACTTTTTCAAGGTCACACAGGCGTAAAATAGACTTGCTTTGTTGAACTTTAGAACGTATTAAGTGAATGTTACATGATCTGGCAGCCAATCAGGGACAGAGCAAAGCATTCGTGTGATGATGGTAATAACAATAATAATACCTACGGAAATTATTTATTTT